TGAATTTGAGATTTAGAGAACAGACATCAAGAAAAATTTAGTAACACGCCTGGCACAGAATTTTAAAAAGCACATCAAAATTTTTCATCGAAGCATCAATGATTGTGATCTAGGAAGCGCTTCACAATTTTTTTTTCAAGCATCAAAGAAAAATTTAGTAACACGCCTGGCAAAGAATTTTAAAAAGCACATCAAAATTTTTCATCGAAGCATCAATGATTGTGATCTGGGAAGCGCTTCACAATTTTTTTTCTTCAAAAACCTCATTTTAAAATCAGTATATTCAGATTTCAAGTCAACTCATGCAATCGGAAGAAACCGTTTGAGGAAAGTGGAAGCAGTGCAAGTTAATCTTCGAAGTCTCGACACTCGCATTTCTAATTCATAAGAAACCCAATAAATTGCAGTTATTAGCTTATGCTCGTCAACAATCTTACGAATAATTAAGAATCCAATTGTCTCAGTACACACATTTAATGAGTCATGGAGCTAGTGAAGCACGTTAAACGTGTCAATTTGCGATTGCGTTCTACTCGAATATGGAACTGTACGAGAAGAGTATAAACCAGAGTTAGAAGAGGGCACTACTAACTCTGTTTAAACCAGGTTGTTTTTTTTTCAAAGGATGAAATTATTTTACACCGCAATTCAATGGTTTTTGCGCTAAAAGCTCAAAAATCGGTCTCCCCAGAGAAATCGCACATCACATCACTAATAATAATTTATATTTATAATTCGGTTAACTCAGTATTCCTATTGTAGACTCCAGGTGGTAGCTTCTCTGGCTGGTTGTATCCTAACTTCCATATGATAAAAATGTAGCAAAATATCATTGAGGTTGAGCATAAAATAATTCTTTCAGTGTATCCGACGGGAAAAAGAAACGTTTATTTGACTACGAGTTAGAGAAGGTTATAAAAAACTAGGTGATTTTTAAAATGCCCACCGTTTAGGCTACCTTAAATCAATTTTTAGGAAAATTCATTGCCTGACGAGGGAATTCCGCGTTAAATTGCACGCGAAAACTGACATCGCACGAATCGCGAAGCACGGTTTTCGTGTGCAATTCAACGTGGAATTCACGAGTCAGGTAATGGATTTTCCTTGAATCGCATAATAGAATAAAAATAAGAAAAAATAGAAAACAGCAGTAATATTGTTTGTTTTTATCCTGAGCGCGCAACGATCGTGAATTTGATAAACCGAATAAAAAGTACTGATAATGGTTACTTGACTAAACCTCGGCTGCGAGACCGCTGAAGACACTTCACAAGCAAACTCTATTTCAACTCAACTCTGTGTTCAAACGCTTTTGTACTGTATGGTTTAAGGAAATAATTATAAAGGGGTCAATTTCTTATCATGAAACATTCAGAGGAGATAAATAACCGAAACAAAGCCAGGACGAAAAGGGGCGCGAACTCGAGAGGTTAAAAAGACCGATACCCACAATACAATTTTGACAAATTTCCCCTCTTGAAACAGACCTGTAGCGTATGCAGAATGGACGGAATTCTGTGAAATTGACCAAATGAAGAAAATGAACGTTTTTATTCTTTTTTATTTATTTTTTTATGCAATACCGTTCACTCAGCTGACTCGGAAGAGTAACTCGACGGCAGCTCTTTTCAATTCTCAAACTACTCGACATATCGATTGTCAGTAAAATAAAAGGAATGCAGGAGAATGCAGACATAGTTTGAGAGAGTGATCTCTGGTAACTGACATTGTGCAATTTCATATTTCTGTTTATGAGCTGTTTTGCGTCAGAGCTTTCAGGACGAGGCATATTTCCCGTATACTGTACTTCATATTTCTGTGTTAAGTGTTTTTTTTAAGGCTTAAAAACGAGATTTGAAGTATTCCGCGCTTGAAGAACGAGGTATCTTTCAAGTCATTCGCGCTTGAAATGGGCTGTTTAATAATTCAGGACTTTAAGAACGAGGCAAATATCCCGTATACTGTACTTTATATTTTTGTGTTAAGCGCGTTCTTTTTTTAAAAGTTTGAAAAACGATATTTTAAGTTTTCCGCGCCTGAAGAACGAGGTATCTTTCAAGTCATTCGCGTTTGATATGGGCTGTTCCGCTCCATGGCTTTAAAAAAACGAGGCATATTTAGCTATGCCGGTACCACGCTTGCTGCATTTGCTCAAATAAAGCGCCGTAAGTCGCTGTAAGTCATTCGCGCTTGATATGAGCTGTTTCGCTTTATGGCTTTAAGAATATAATTTTGCCCATTTTATCGGAAAACTACGTTTCCCATGGGAATCTACTGATGCGTATTGGAAATGTACGGCAAAAAAAGTCCACATCTCCTGTTTGTTTTTTTTAGTGCTAAGGTCCAAGAAAAACAAAACCGAAAATTAGGAAAATTTTGTTCCACCATTAGTCTTGAAATGTAATGGTATAGGTTCGAATCTCGTCCGAGCCTGATTTTTTTTGTTTTAGTCAACTTTTCTGCAATTAGTAAAATTGCAGCTCACCTTCGAGAATCATGTCTTTATTTGATTTTAATCCGCAAGTCAAAAGAAACTTATTTCATCACAAATTCATATCGAAAAGTCGCGCAGTAAAATGAGCCTTCGTTTCGACAATAAAATGTTTCTAAATGTTTTGTTATACGCACTTAAAAAAAATTTGAAGGACAATGACCAGAATGTAACTGAAGCAAATATTAAAGGGCTATTAAGCGTCCTATAAAAGTAAATAGGCATAAGGGCGGAGGAGTTGACATTTACTTCTGTAGCTCAGTTGGTAATAATATTTTGGGAGGCCTGGGTTCAAACCCCGTCCGAGCCTGAATTTTTCTTAGTCTTCCTTTTCTGCAATTGGTAAAATTGCAGCTTACCTGCAAGGATCATGTCTTTCTTTAATTTTACATCGGCAGCTCCAAAAAAATTAATTTTTTTACAAATACACAGCTTAAACTTGCGCAAAGAAGAGAACCTTTGTTTTGACAATATACTGTTTGTAAACGATTGAAATGTAATAAACAAAATATCCCCTGTTTGACCTAACCATGTGTTCTCCAAGTGGAAGGGGAGAGGTGGGAATGTTTATTTTGAGCAGTCATTGTATGAAAAAAAGTCCGAATTGATTATTTTTTTCCTAATAATTGCTTACGTTAGGGGAAAGGCTCCATAAAAGGTGAATTTAAATGGGATCAGTAACGATTGAAATCGGATTTTCAATGCAGCCGATCGCATGGGCCAGTGGGCAATTAAAATTTAGAACCGAGTTTTGGTAAATACGCGATGTGATTTGTTCGATTTTGATCTGAATATTACGAACTAACAATATGTTCTCAAAGTGGGAGGGGGGAAGTGGGAAGGAGGAGGTTGGAATTTGTTGATTTTGCTATTCTTGTTAACTTCAAATTTCTTTTCGACTGGCTGAGTTTTGAACTCTCCATCTTTCGGTAAATTGCGTCTCTCTGAACCCTTTTTGAAGCTAGTGGGATTAACAAAATTTTAATAGAAACTGAATCCCACTCCCACTAATAACAACGGCGGTGGGATTTCTATTAAAATTTGAAACGGGGTCTTGGCAAATATGCCAGTTGGGATATAGGATTTGATCCTGCCATTATGAGCTGTAAACTGGCCCCTCTGCAACGCATGGACTTAAGGGCAATTAAAATTTGAAACCAAGATTTAGTAAGTACGTGAGCTGAGATATTGGATTTGAGTCCCAACATTACAAATTGCTATAGTTTACACGTGTGACTGGGTCTGTATAAGCTTCTTAAAAATAAGTCTCATGGGATAAGCAATAAATGTTGTTTACTTACAGTTCAATCAACTTGGTGTTGTAGCTGAAGACTCCACGTGGTAGCTCTGCTATCTGATTGTCATCCTAAATACCTACGTAAACGATATTAAGAAAGACAATAAAGCAAATTAATCATCTCATGAAGTTTTAAGACTTACAGAGTTTGCAAAGTACATCTGTAGGAATAGAAATTAACTCTTAACTTCTTTCCAGACTCCTCTTCTACTGAGGGAGACCCTTGGAATTTCGGCCAAATCCCTCGAGACCTTAGTTACCGGTCATCATTTATCGCTTAAGTGGCCGGAAGGGAAGAGTCAGAGGATTTGGTTTAAAATTGCAGCTCGCCTGCGAGAATGGTGCCTTTCTTTAAATTTACATCGGCAGCTCCAAAGAAATTAATTTTTTTAAAAAAAATACACAGCCTAAACTTGCGCAAAGAAGAGAACCTTAGTTTTGACATAATACTGTTTGTAGATGATTCAAGTTTAATAAACAAAATATCTCTTTTTGACCTAACAGTGTGTTCTCTAAGTGGGAGGGGGGAGGTGGGAATGTTCATTTTGAACATTCATTTTATGGAAAAAAAGTCCGAATTGATTATTTTTTCCTGATGATTGCTTGCGTTAGGGAAAGGCTTTGTGAAAGGTGAATTTTAACACGAAGGCGCGTTATAAATAGGTTGGCTCCTCCCCTTTGTTTCAGCTCAAATGCAAAAATCATCCAATATGGCGACCAACGTTCCCACCATGAGTGAAACGGTCTGCATAGAAGACACACTTTAAGTGTTTTTTTTTTGTGTCAATAAATTAGAAGATATTGCGTCTTGTTGACTCTCATTCCCATAATTGAGCTCATTTTGATATTAATTGGCACTAACTTATCGTTCGGCCGCTCAAAGCGCTATCTGCGGTCGACGAGACACTCGCACAGTTGTCTTTTCAAAATTCGCGCCGTGTAACTTCGGCTTATGTCCCAAGCCCCTGATACAAACTGGTTCTTCGAGCCTTCAGATTATTCCCATTGAAACTAGCGGATTCATGACACATTCTATGCGCAATGCTCAGACTATTGTTATCTGTGACAATTCTGTGACAAAACCTCTAAAGTAGGGATGATTTCACAAGTAAGTGCGATTTTGAGACAGAATTTCACAACTCTAGTTCAGTTTGGAGAATAGTCTTGGCTGTCGCTGCTCGAAAGATATATTTATTGGGAAATTTATTCGTTATGGCTGAGGGAAATAAGCCATCTGTACCCAAGAAAAAGCATCCAACGGATCGAGGTCCACAGTTCTCGTTCAACATAGAAGTTCCTCGAACTCAGGAGAGCAGACTTCTCGGCATCAAAGACCGCATAAAGATGGCCAAAGGCTCGTTGAATCTTACAAAAGCGACGACAAGCACACAGAATGCAGATTTGATGGAAGCTCTTCTGTTAGCTTTTGAGGAGAAAATTGAGAGGAAATGACTGACATCGAGCGATCTGAGCTTATCATCAACGGGAAGTCCGAAATACACCATCCACAACTGCACGGTTTTCAATTCCTTCAGCTTCTTCCACTCCATCTTCGCGTATTTCTTTGCCTTTTGCTGATCCTTTTGCTGATCCTTTTTCTCCAATTTCTCCTCCACAAGCAGAACGTACGCCACAAAGAATGCAAATCACTGCATCTTCAGCAGAGAACGACTCCTTATATCTCTGCAGTGAAGAATCTCCGCGAACTCTGTTTTCTTTTTTCTCTAATACGCTAACGACATCATGTTGTTATTGTGGAAAACCCCTCGGTTGTGAGTCACTTGTCTTCAATCGACAGAGTCATGTAGTGTCAGTGACAATTTCATGTGTTGGTGGAGATTCTTTCAAGTGGCTCTCCTCCCCTATCATGGGAGGATCTCCTCCAAAGTACTATGTAAATTTGAGGTGAGCACTCTTTTATTTTTGCTTGAAATTTACAGAAATTTGTTATCTCGGTATTTTACAGTTTTTGTTTTTTGTAACTGGTCACTTCTCTGTCTCTCTTTCATAGATTGATTCATGGAGTATTGTCCTGTGGCTTGACAGAGACAGAATACACAAGTTTCTGTCAAGCAGCCAACATCGGGTCAGAGGGAGAAAAGACCTCCAACACAGGTTAGCAATGCACATGCTCAGATGCTCTGAAAATCATGTAGTCTTTCTCCTTGCAAGGAGAAGGCAGTCAACAGCAGTTTGCAGGTTGCTAAATCATGAATGTTCTACCAAGATAGCTCAAACTGACTGAACTGTTCCTTCTTTGGTTTGTGCCTTACCAGATACAATTCTAAAATACTTCTATTTTTAATCACTTCAACAGTCTTGAAAAAGCTCAGTTACTTGACAGTCGTGAAGAGGGTCTCCAATGAGTCGATGTTGGCTGCTCAAGAACAAGTGAAGAGTAACCCTGCATATGCTGTGAATGGAGAGGTACAAATTGTCATTTTAATTTCATTTTGTCTTTGGCCACATACTTATACACCTGCCATACTCGGAATATATTATGTAGACTGGCACATACAAAGATATAAAATCTTATATCAGATTGTAAACCTTGAAAATATCTGTGAGTAGAGAAATGTGACCATTTTTATGTCTTGATTTCTACCATTTCTTCCTACAGTGTGTTATAACAGATGCAAGGCATGATTCCAGTCAATCAGCAGCACACACAACAGTGTCAGCCCTTTCTTTCTTGTAAGATGGTTTCTACTTGATCTCTTTGTATGATATGTTGAACCTCTGGTATGTTCAACACCATTCCTAAAATCATTTCATTTGCACTGATTATCTTTAGGACCAAAAAGGTGTTAGCAGTTGTCAACTGGAGTAGGGCCAATGAAACTTCAGCAGTAAGCTGTGAGGTCCCTATGACAAAAGAGCTGCTGACTTATCTCTCTGAGACACAAGGTATGATAAATTTGCATCCTCAATAATATCATATCACATATGTAATACAAATATGGAGATCAGAAGTATCTTTTATAATGCAGCTAAAGTAATTCTTTTTTCAGGGTTCCATGTTGCAGAGGTGGCATATGACTTTGTATTACAGCTAAAAACATGGATCTTGTCAAAAGGAATGCTTAATTCCTTTGACTCTTGGCATGGTACTCAGTACACACTTGTATTTTTTGGCTCATTTTGTCTTGATGATTATGACTATTTCTTGAAAGTTAGCATTTTATTGGTATTAATATATATTTTTTTTTATTTTCAGGTGCAAAGTCTGTGACTAAAGCAATGAAGGAAGTTGCCTCAGGGGCCCAGAGGGATGAGGGCTCAAAGTGGTTTTTTGAATATTATCTGCAGATGTCAAATTCCTTCTTGATATAAGATGAATACAATGGAATATAATAATTGTGAATATTTTACAGTGAAAAGTACAAGGACTCTTGTGTACTTCTGCATGAAGAACAGTCCACCCAATGAAGAAGAATTTCAGGTGTTTCCTCCTGTTACTTTTCTTTGCACTGTATATCTTTTCCTAACCTATAGGAAAGTCACTATAATTTGCTGTGTGGACATTGTAAAATGGACCATATAAAAAAAATTGGGTACTTGGGCTCTCTTTGAGGTGGGCATTTGTATGAGAATTTTATTATTCCCTTTTATGCCCCATATAGGCAATACCAGGAGGGTTAGGAAACCTTGAGCTCACATTTTTTATAACACAATTGGACATCCTTTCCCGCACTACATTAACGTGGTCCCCCAGTTCGACTTTTCTAGCCTGGTAAACAGGGTCTTTCCAGAGCCCACATTTGTTCAATGCTCTCCAGTACGTCTTCTAATCTTTTCTACGTCGCACGTGATTTTGAATATGTGCTTCGCGATAGCCAAGGTATTCGCGACTGTCGGTCGTTACACATGGCGTTTGCCAACAGTAAATACACATTTCGAACTCGTCCCCTCTTGCATCAGCTATTGTGGAGACAAGGTGAAATAACTGTTAGAGCGAAAGCGCAGCTGAACGGTCATGAAGTCTGATATGACCGTACACCTAGTCTTCCGCCTACATTTTATTTTGGACAATTTTGATGTACATTTTTAATGTTTAATTGACACTTATGCCCATGGTGTAGCATAAAATATCGCAATAAATATAACTTGTACTTCTAAAGAAATATCTCCTTTCAAAATATTCTTAGGCAGGACAAAACATTCTTAGGCGGGACAAAATATTCTTAGGCAGGACAAAACATTCTTAGGCGGGACAAAATATTCTTAGGCAGGACAAAACATTCTTAGGCAGGACAAAACATTCTTAGGCAGGACAAAACATTCTTAGGCAGGACAAAACATTCTTAGGCAGGACAAAACATTCTTAGGCAGGACAAAACATTCTTAGGCAGGACAAAACATTCTTAGGCAGGACAAAACATTCTTAGGCAGGACAAAACATTCTTAGGCGGGACAAAACATTCTTAGGCAGGACAAAACATTCTTAGGCAGGACAAAACATTCTTAGGCAGGACAAAACATTCTTAGGCAGGACAAAACATTCTTAGGCAGGACAAAACAT